GCGATCCACACTGGCAACGTCCAACTGTTAAACTTGCCTAAAGAAGCAGGTCACTGATGTCATGAATGGATGACAACTTGGCCATATCCGATGATCAACCGGCATAATACTCATAACCCAACATCAGTCGACCATATTGCGATGCATGGCGAAGCGAAACCTGTTCGCAGAAGTTGTGGCTTGTTTCGAATGTCCGGCTCTTGAAGATAATCATAGTCATTTTTCAGTCGTTGATACATGTATTAGTGGCTTCTGACCATTAAGGAGATTTGTAGGTACTGAGTGATTGCTGGCAAAGGCGTCGCCGTCTTATGTTCTCATCGATGGCTGCCCGCCTGTAGATCTCGGCAGATCTACAATTGCGAGGACATCACATTGTCGCTGCTTCATCTAGACATAGGTGCCTGTGAGTTGCTCCTCCTATGCGTAGCGTAAAAGTCGTACGCGGTGGCTGAGTATTTCCACAGACAAGTAGACAGCCTCATGTCAGCATCAGACATCATGACAAGATTGTGGCATTGTCACAAACTTGGAAATTCCCCCAGCGGCCTTAAGGGGCTCTGGTACTTGACTTCAGAGGCCTGCGCGCTATCGAATCCCAATTTTAGCGATTAACCTAGGGCTCCTTCTAGCGCGCGATATCTTTTCAGGGCTACAATCCCCTATTACAGATGTATCTAGTGCACGCCGACTCAAGGACACATCACGCATCCAAATCTAAGGCTGTACCTGAACAGAGCCCTAGGGCGCCCAGTAATTTATACCGTCGAGATTCGCAAAGTACACAGCTGCAAAAAATACATTCAAGAGGCACAGACCGCGAGCCTTTGAAGATTACTTATGTCACTGCTGTTCTACCTACTATCAAGAATTAGATCCATTACCAGTAAGTGTGTAGTCTTACTGCCTTTTGTAGGGAGTAGGTGTGTAAGTGGGATCCGCCGGGAAGGAAGAGATAGGAATCTCTGGTCCATCTTCCACAGGGTCAGTGTTTGGGTCGCTTGATACGCCCGTGGAGGAAGCCTCCGGTGTTGAAGGCGTAGTGGGGGTCGCAATAATCCCGCAGCTCATGTCAGGCTCGGCCGGAAGATTGGCGTAAAAGTCCGCGTTGTAAGCTGCGTCAAGAGAGGCTTGAATGTTGGCATCGGTGAATGGACAGCGGGCATGTTCGTAACGGAAGACATTGAACTGCGACGTGGCCGCCGGCGACAGCTTACTCCAGCTAATCAGCGGCGGGCTGAGTCCGTACTGAGCATTGTTTGCCGAAGGGAAGACGTTGACCTGGCCGTCGTAACCCACGATGGCGTGAGTGTTGGTAGCGCCTGTTCCGCTGTCTCCGGAGGCAAAGATCGTCGACGTGGTAAGGCCTTTGTCGTATGTTTCTGTACCGGTAGAATAGCTGATGCCCGCAATATCGTAGTTGCCAGCAGCGGCGTTGCAGGTCTCGGTGTGTAGCCAGACCACTGTAGTGAGGTACCAATGCCTGTGGTTCTCGGTCTTGGTCTGGATCTTGGGAAGATACCACGAGTAGAGAACGGCCGGACGCCCATTCGAGGTTCCAACTCGGGAGTAGATTTGACCCTTGGCAGAGTCCCGACAATCACCTCCACTCTTGCCCGTAGGTTTGAGGCCGCGCCTGGAGAGAGGATCGATGAGAACGAAGCCAACGGAAGACAAGTCGAGAGGACACGTACCCGTGGAAGCCATCTTTATCCACAGCTGCATACGGGAAGCATCCGCTACCGTCGTTCAGCCAAGGCTTGAAACGAAGTTCGATGTCGCCTGGGGTGCCATCGGCCGTTTGCTGCTGAAAAGCCGCAATTTGGTCATGGTTCTTCCACTGATTATTCAAGGAAACGTCCTTCTCCCGTGGCGACAGAACTGCGCCAGCCGTCAGCGTGGCTAGTCCAAGCAAAGACGAGAAAAACGAGTGGCGCATAATTAGTGGCTATGATATTAACGAAAGACTATAGCCGAGTGATGTTGGTTCTTTCAAGCCTAGCCTGGGGGAGAGAGCTAGATCATGTAGCCTACTCAACCACCCCCAGCGATGGAGTTGTCGGTTCCTTGATCTTTGCAAACAAGAGAGCGATTTGACATCGGAGAAACCGAACACTGCTTGACAACAGTTGACTCGTTGAGCCTGCAACTGGGCCAGTTAATTAAACATGATAGTTCATATAAATAGAATTTATGGTTCACAACGCAGTTGGGACATGTTCGTCCCGTCTCTTCCATGCCAAGGATCTACAGCATCGTGCCAAATATAGTGAACTGGCCTGACTCAGTGCATCTAATGTCCCACTTGCTGAGATCCACGACGACCCAAAGCGCTCTTTCTCTCGCACCCAAATGCAACTGGCAACTGACTGCAAGAGACTGTGGAAAGGGATCGGAATATTGAAGTCGAAGTGATAGCTCACATCAGGCGACTCAGCAAGGGAGTTCCGAGTTGACAACCCACCATTAGTCTATATGCATAAACAACTCAAGCTCTTCAATTTTCTGTGACCAAGACCTGCCCCACTATATTCTCCTATTCCTCAAGAAACAGGACTGATTAAGGTTTCGGTGTGCCCGACAACTCTTTGTGGCGATCAAGTTCGGAGAATGAGGATATATACCCTTTCATTGAACAAGTATCTCCAAGTGGTAGATATCAAGAAACCAGCTCTTCAATTCGACTCTACATACGGCCTGCCATCGCGCAGCCAACACTCATTGGCTTAATTTGTATTACACTCGCTTATCAAAATGCTTTCAAGTCATTTCCCTGCCATTCTTCTGGCACTCGGCTCCATTGTGACCCTAGTATGTTGCCCCAAGACAAAAGATCTCCACTCTTAGCCGGGCCATCATCTTACTAAAATAATCCTGCGCGATAGATCTCTGGCCAACCTGTCCGACCATTCGCTGTAAGTATTCCGGCAAGCCTTTGCTTCAGCACCAATTGACTAATTCCCATGCAGGGAAACCGTGCTTACGCCGTTGACGCCGAAGCTGATGAGACTGGCAACCGATGGGCTTTCTCTGTTTATGCAGACGGCTACACTGCTCGGGATGAGGAGGGCAACACCTCGCCTGTCGATACCCTGCTCGTCAACAAGGTGTCCAAGCGCTTGACTGTCATCAAGGCCATGAACGGATTCGACAAGACCACGCCCCGCCTCAAGATGCGACAGGTTCTCAAGGAATGCTGGAAGATGACTGGCCTTCAACCCTCGGAGTTGAAGGAGGTCTTGGGCTACCAGATTGAGAATGACGACATGAACAAGGCTTTGGGAGAGTGCCGTACCAAGATTGGCTTGAGACCTACTGCATCCTTCGAGATTTCCAGCAAGGAGACGGACGCAAACCGCAAATGGTGCTGGGAGAGACTCGGAACAACGATCTTCTCTTCGGCGATCAGAGGTTCAATTGCGGACTTTTCTATCAACAAGCAGCTCATTCAGATTAAGGTCGACAATGGTGGAAAGTGGGATCACGTCTACTATGAGTTCTCGTAAATAAGCCAAGGTGTTTTCGAGGGGTCCACTGCATTGGATTCTTGGCGAAGGTGGCAGCTCGAGTGTTGGCCTGCTGGTGTCCATGTATCTGCCGAGGGGAATAATTGAATGTTAATAAACCTGCTATTAGAACACCATATCAAGGTCACAAGTAGTTGCTTTGACTTTCGCAAGCTCGATAAAGCTCTGCTCGTCTGTCCGTGCAGGGAGATAAGTTCTGCCCAATGATGTTGACGCTCAGGCCTATGCCAGCTCAGGGCTGATGCTGGGGTTCTGAGATTACAGTTTCTGTGTTGCTGCTACAGACAGGCAGAAGAGAGTAATTTACGGTATTCTGGAAACTAACAGGGTTGCCTAAAGACCTGTCAAGGGAGGGGCTCTACTTACTTTTGTGTATCACTATCAAAGCAAACGCTCGGCGCTGCACATCGTACGCCCTCGCATCGCTATTGGTACTTCTGATATTGACGACGAATATCGTAGAAAGGCTGGGAAGTGAGGTGACAGGTACCCCATCTAATAGAGCCTTTGCTCAGTGTAGGGTATGATGTGCGGCAAATAGACAAAAGACATCTTGATGGCAGCCTGACAAGAGTGAAAGTCCTTTGTAAACGGCTATGTTGACTAATAACAGGTCACGACGAGTGAAACGATTAGTTTACGACGCAATCACATTGACTGGACTCTCTAATGGTGATACAGAGTATGCGTTTCGATGTCTAGAATCGAAACGAAAGTTTTGTGCTTCGCCTCAAGGAGTTGATAATCCCTGCAACAAAGCCTAACATTGAGCCTCATGGCATTCTCTATACTTCGATGCTCGAATACGAGAGCAGTAGAAAGCCTTGCCCATCTCCTCTCTAAGTCATAAGTTTCGGACTCTTCGGAGAACCCAATGCCGGTGCGGCTTGGGGCCTGGGCACCTCAGTCGTCTGATGGGCCTTTATGTTCTACCCAAATCTGCCCTATCCCTGTATCTCTTCTCCGAGTTCCTTATGCTAATACAGGGAGGAGGAAGTAAGGGTGATTACGCAAAAGAGTAATGTGACGCTCGATACTCGGACCAACTGATGGAGGGTAATGTTTTCTCCTCACGACATTCGCGAGACCGAACCAACCACACAATGGCCACATTATGCAGTCTGACCGCAAGGTCAAATTTTCCAACCTCTTTGCTCTATGTGGTTGGTGTGTTCGCGTAAAACATTGCTAGGATCAGAAGCACCGGACGAAATAAGTCACCGTTGATTGAAGCTGCAAGACCTTTATCTAATGGAAGAACCACTCAGAAATCATGAGGCTCTCAATCTCATCCACTAGTATTGTGTGCTAGCCTTTTGATCTATCAGATCAAGGAGGCATTGCTTCGCTCCGTGAAATGGTATTCAGCATCGTCTCCATCCACAGCTAGATTTGTGAATTTCTGGTTACAACCATACTTGCTCAATGGGCAGACCCTGGCCTCACTCAGGTTGCTTTAGGCGCAAAAAACGCATGCGAAGCTGGCAGTGTACGACCTCCTGAGCTTGACGATATTCATATCATTTCACTTACTGCGGCTAAACAACTGAACTACACGTACAATCCTCATCCAAGATTTCGATTTGGCCGGGCGATTTATGGCCTAAACTTTTGCAACATCACAGTCATCTACACCCATCCAGGCTGGAACGATGAGATTCAGGCTACAACTTTTCTTCCGATGGAAAATTGGAACCGGAGATTTCAGGGAAACGGAGGCGGCGGATGGGTCACGGGGGGGATCGAAGTGGGCGGGATTACGATGATGCCTTCCTTGGAGGCAGGATTCGCCGTCAGCACAACTGATGGTGGCCACTCGAGTAAACTTGACGACGCGTCGGCTGATGGTATGTCTTGGGCTTTCACCAGTCCCGGAAACATCAACTGGCCACTTTTCCTCGACTTCTCCCATGTCGCCTTACACGTCATGGCCATGATTGGAAAAGCCTTGACGGAGGCTTTTTACAGCACCCCTCCAAAGTACTCGTACTTTTATGGCGGTTCAACCGGCGGAAGACAGGCTTACATGCTAGCCCAGCGCTATCCAAACGATTTTGACGGGATTCTGGGCTTCTGTCCTGCCATAAACTGGGACAAGTTCCAATGGTCTCCTCTGTGGGCTTAGAGTCATGGATGAGAAGAGCGTCTACCCTCGACCTTGCGAGTTCGAAGCCATCACTGCTGCGGCTATGAAAGCATGCGACGGGCTTGACGGCGTCGAGGATGGGATCATTTCTATGCCCTCTCGGTGCTTCTTTAATGCTAGTACTCTCGTCGGCCATGCTTTTGACTGCGGAGGGAAAGACGCGCTGTTCACTCCCGAAGCAGCAGAGGCGGCAAATGCTGCTTGGAATGGGCCACGAAGCTTGACCGGCGAGTTTCAATGGTATGGATATGGGAGAGATGCGAAAATGTGGCAGTTTGGTGCTCTCCATACGTCGTGTGATGGCGAAGGAGAGAAATGCGCGCCGGTCAGGTTGTCCATCGCCGAGGCGTACGCACGATACTTTGTCGCCAAGAACGCCGACCTTGACCTTCAAGCCCTTGGTCACAGTCAGTGGGGTGATCTTTTCGTCGCGTCACGGAACGAGTACGAATCGATAACCGGCACTTCCGATCCCGACCTGAGCAGGTTCCGCAAGGCTGGAGGGAAGCTACTCAGCTGGCATGGGATGGCGGACCAGATTATCCCAGTCAACGGTACTGTCGATTACACGGACAAAGTCCTCAAGAAGGATCCCAAAGCCCACGACTACTTTCGCATGTTTCTCGCTCCGGGCGCTGATCATAGTATCTCAAATGGCCTTACTCCGCGTAACACGCTATCGGCGCTGGTTGAATGGGTTGAGAAGGGAATTGCACCGGTCACGTTGCGGGTTGAGGGGCTCAACGCTTACGGCAAGCCTATGACGAGAGACATCTGCATGTACCCGCAAGTTCAGCATTACGTTGGTGGCGACCCAGCATGGCCGTCATCATTTGCTTGCGTTTGACAGTGGATTAAGCATTCGACCAAAGGTCAATTGTCCGTGGCTGCCAAGGGCACAAGAGCATCAATCTCTCTCTTGCAAAACGGTTGGGATGAGGAGTACTTCAGCGGGAGATGGCCGAAGCGATCAGACTGTTTTCGCAAATGGAGGCTGAGCAGACTTTGATGAGAGGATGGGAGCAAATCTACATGCGGCTTGCCCGTCAAGATTTGTTGCGGCTCGAAACTTACTAACTTTTACTTCATAAAAATCGACATTGGGACCAACGATCTAGGTATGAGATTCCACCACGACGGCCTTTCGCACCGCTAGATTGTTACGCGGCGTCAATGTGAATATGGTTCCTTGAGCAAAAACAACGAGGCATTGATGCCGGTAACTTTTAAGGCGAGGAATTATCAAGTTAGAATGAAGTTTCACGAAACTGTAATACCGCGATATTGACACCGCAGGATATGGCAGACGTTCAAAGCAGTATTTAGCTTCCAAAGCGATGTTCGGAGTCAAAGACTGAGCCAAGTCAATCTCGGGGAATTGTGGCCTCTTTGAATGTAGTGGGGTAAATTAGTCCACTCCGAGTTCACGCCGATGACCCCGCGTCCCGCGACCCTTCTGCCGCATTTCTATCTTATCGGAAGACGCGCCCCCATCTGCAGTCTGCTGACGGAGGCGCAGACGTGTGAGCGAGGTGGGAGCAAAGTGGACCAAACTTTGACGGAATTGCGGCCGATACAAGCTAATTTTCAGATAAAGAATGTTTATTTGGCATCACGCACACTATCAGTGCCACTTCCGAGCTCCCACTAACTCCGTTTATACTCCGGTAGTTGGGAAACTTTTGGATTTCGTCATGTTCTCCGCCCGAAACACCTCGGCAAAACGGATGGCGTTGCCGCTAATCTATCTACTGACAAACACATCTTGCCCGGCATTTCTTTGAAAGAAATCTGATTTAGATATAAAGGCTTCCCGGGGACCTAGTGTTGTTCACTGTATCACTTCACGTTGGACGCTGAACAGTATCGCCGCACGTTGTTTTCAAGATGGCTACCGACTACAAATTCGAGGGATGGGTGGCGGATGACCCCTCTTCGGTGGACGGCAAGATGGTCTGGCGAGAGTACGAGCCGAAAGTCTGGGAGGAGACGGACGTTGATATCAAAATTACTCATTCGGGCATTTGCGGCTCCGACATTCACACTCTGCGTGCTGGCTGGGTATGTCGCACACTCATGCGGCGTCCGTTATTCTGGATGTTCTCCGAGTCTCAATTGGCTAGCGTGCTGACTGTGACGTTTAGGGTGCCACCAGATTTCCTGCCGTCGTCGGCCATGAGATTGTGGGTGTAGCCGTCCGTGTCGGATCTCAGGCAGAAGGCGGCATCAAAGTTGGCGACATCGTCGGCGTAGGCGCACAGTCCGACTCGTGCCTTTCGCGCGACGGGCCCTGCGATGCGTGCGAAGTCGGAGAGGAGAACTACTGCACCAAGCGCGTCAACACCTATAACAGCTTGCATCGCAATGGCAGTCAGACACAGGGCGGATATGCGCTGTACCATCGCTGTCCGAGTTACTTCGTGATCAAGATCCCCAAGGGAATTGCTCCCGAGCAAGCTGCTCCCATGCTCTGTGGCGGTGTCACAGTTTTCTCACCCTTGAAGCGCTACAACGTCGGGCCCGGCAAGAGAGTCGGTGTCATTGGCGTCGGTGGCCTCGGCCATTGCGCGGTCTTGTTCGCGAAGGCTCTCGGCGCAGACAAGGTGGTGGCTATCTCGAGAAGGTCTGATAAGAAGCAGGATGCTACGCAGCTTGGTGCAACCGATTTCATCGCCACGGCCGAGGACGAGGACTGGGCCACGAAGAATGCCCGCACCCTCGACGTGATCATTTCTACGGTCGCGTCTCCTAAGGTACGTGGATGACCCTCCCTTCGTGAAAAATCTGGTCCTTGGGTGGAAGCTCACACAATGATAGATGCCTCTGGCCCAGTACCTTGGCCTTCTATCACGCGGAGGCACATTTGTTCAAGTTGGTGCTCCCGAGGAGCCGGTGCCACTGAGTGCTTTTGCCCTGATTAGAACCCGAGTGCATTTGACTGGATCAGTCATTGGCAGTCCTGGGGAAATCCGAGAAATGTTTGACCTTGTGGCCGCGAAGGGAGTCAAGGTCTGGGTTGAGACACGCCCAATGAACGAGGCCAACCAGGCAGTTTTGGACATGGTCGACGGCAAACCCAGGTATCGATATGTTCTGACAAACTAAGAACACCTTAGACACCATAAATAACATGACCTGTACTTTCATTGACTTGGAGGCTTCGTGCCCTTCTACTAAGAAGTAGAGCTCCCCTTTAGGCTCAGATCACCTGGTCTTTTGGTGCCTGCGGTGGATAGAACTTCCGCAACGAAAAGCGATCAGGAATTGGCCCTCAACCCGAACACTCGTCCTGCCTCAGTGGGTGTAGCGTGTTCTTGGTAAACGCTCAAGGGCGGATACTACTCTATTTAAGCAGCATGGATACGGGTAGCATGGGTCAACAGCCTTGGTTTTCGCTGGAAACCTCCATCGCAATTTACTTCAGGGCCCACACCGAAAGCTCACTGTCAGTCCGGAGGACTCGAGACCATACTGATTCGTTGCCATTGTCATCGCCTTGAGCAATTCGACACACGACGACAACGAGGTCCAACTCACGCGCCCACTGGCATACAATTCGGTTATGACGATGTATGTTCTTTACAACTTACGGCGCAGTGAAGACATCTCTCTCTTGAGTCGAATGCTACCCGTTGTGGAGCAGAACCCCTGTACGGCCGGGGATCTGCGGTTGACATCACGACAGAATCTCGTATTTGCCGTTCTTCATCTCCAATCTCGTGTCATTTTTTCTCGCAAAGCAACAAAGTCCCCATGAATAACATGAGAAAGCGGGGACGCGATCGCGGGCCGCCCGTGACCAGTTTCTGGGGTTCAACGCCACCATCTTCTTATATGGACGACATGTTCGCGCGACGGAATGCGGCTCTCTCTCCGCTTCTCATCCATCGGCCTACTTTTAGTGAGCGGGTGATCAATCAGACAAAATGAGGGTCTCACACGCACTGGTCTCGGCCCTCCTGGGTTCGAATCTTGCCGTCGCCAACCCGATCCATCCCGGCATCTATACGAAGCCTCCGTCAGCAAAGCTCCCAAGAGCCGAAACAAGTGAGAGCAACAACGTCAACCCGAGCGAGCTCATTCCTGGCGCCTACATTGTCGAGTTCGCAGATGATAATGATTCACCCGAAACCTTCTTCAACTCTCTCAAGGCGGATGGCCTCGACGTCGAATCTCGCATGGACCTGAGCAACCGTTTGTTCAAAGGCGTTTCTTTTCAGGTCAAGAATGTTGGCGAGGCCCACCATGATAGCGCGCTCCTCCGTCGCAAGATCGAATCTTCACCGCGCATCAGAAGTCTCTGGCCTGTCCGTACGATCCAGCTTGCAAAGCCCGAGGACCACGGCGCGCCAGCCAGCGGTGCGATCACCAAGGCCAACGCGAGGCGTCAGGAAGCGGCATTCGGAAACTCAACCAAGGACACCTTCTCGCCTCACGTCATGACTCAGGTCGACAAGCTGCGTGAGCAGGGTATCACCGGCAAGGGAGTTCGCATCGCCATCATCGACAGTGGCGTGGACTACACCCACCCTGCCCTTGGCGGATGCTTCGGCCCCGGGTGTCTGGTGGAGGCCGGCTGGGATTTCACGGGAGACGACTTTCTGCCCAACGTGAGACCGCTTCAGCCTGATGCGGATCCAATGGACAACTGCGCCGGACACGGTACACATGTTGCTGGTATCATTGCTGCTCAGCACGAAGGCAACGAGTATGGCTTCACGGGTGCCGCTCCTGGCGTCAAGCTGGCAGCATACCGAGCGTGGGGATGCGCCTCCACATCGACGAACGATGTGTTGCTTGCCGCGTTCAGCCGCGCCTTTGAGGAGGGGGCTGATATCATCTCGTGTTCTGACGGAGAGTTCGTGCACCGTATTTACTTTAGGCGAAGCGTTCATGCTTTGGTTCATGCTTTGCTAATCTCTTTGATAGTCCTTCTGGCTGGGCGGAGGATGCTTGGGGTGTCCTTGCTGCCCGCATCGTTGACGCCGGTGTTCCAGTCGTCATCTCCGAAGGTAACGATGGCGGCAGCGGCCTGTTCTACGCTTCAACCCCGGCTACTGGCCGCGGCGTCGCGGGAAGTGGTGCCGTGACGAACTCCAAGTTCCCTACTATACTCAACGAAGGCACTTTCTCCGTGGACTCTAACTCAACATCGGGTGCCAAATCTGACTTTGCCTACTTGCCTGGTGTTCCGGAGCTCGTGGGAGACCTCTCGCTTCAACTCTGGAGCCCCGGCGAGAACAATGCCTGCAGTGAACTGCCTGATGACACTCCCGACCTCAGCAACAAGATTGTCCTGCTTCTGTTCCCCGATTCTCGCGCTACGGGATGCTACCCCATTGACCAGGGTAACAAGATCGTCGCCAAAGGTGGACGCTATATTCTTTTCTACACTAATGACAACACGTGAGTCCTCCCCTTATCGGTTTCAATGTTTCACGACGTCTAACATTGCCTACAAGGACTATGCGGGACGAACAATATGTCTACTCTCAGGGGATCCAAGGTGTAGCTTCCATCCCACCTTATCAGTCTGACCAGTGGCTCTCTCTATTGGAGCAGGGTCGCAGCGTCACTATCTCTATCCCTAGCGCAAACAATACCAGGACTCGTCTTGAGGAACTTGAGAACAACTCCAGCGGATCTTACATGGGGTCTTTCTCAAGCTGGGGCCCAACTTGGGAGTTGGAAGCCAGCCCGCAATTCGCCGCTCCTGGAGCCAACATCCTGTCTACCTTTCCCGTTGCCCTTGGTGGCTACCGTGTTATGACGGGCACTAGCATGTGTGAGTAACATTCTTTAACGTTTCTTAGGCTTTGAGGGTGAAGTAGCTTCGCAAAGTAGACTGACATTTTCTCAGCTTGCCCTCTGAACGCCGCTATCTACGCTCTTCTCGCTGAAGCCCACGGAACGAAGGACCCCAAGCGTCTCAGATCTATCGTGTCGTCTACTTCAAAGCCTCTGGCCTGGTATGATGGAACTGCAGCGCATACCGATCTCATTGCCCCTGTCCCGCAACAAGGTGCTGGAATCATTCAGGCGTTTGACGCAGCTCGTAGCAACGTTGAGCTCAGCGTTGACAGCATCTCCTTCAACGACACCGACCACTTCACGGGCAACGAGACCTTTACCATCGACAACCATGGATCTGCCGACGTTGTATTTGAAGTCAGCCATCGCAAGGCCGTCACCATGTACACCTTCGTGGAGACCACAGATCGCTTGAGGGCTGCCTCATTCCCTAACCCCACCATCGAGGAGTGGGCTGAGCTTCAGTTCAGTTCTGAGTAAGTCACTCACAGTATGTAAGGTTATTCAAATGCTTTAGACTGACAACTTGGACAGGAAGATCACAGTGCCCGCTGGAGGATCCGCAGAACTCACCGTCACCTGCATTCCCCCATCTAACGTAAATGCTACGCGTCTACCAGTCTACAGCGGCCACATCGCCCTCACCAGTACCACCGATGCCCCTTCCCTGAGTCTGCCCTACCTCGGAGTCGTCGGTAGTATGCATGGTGTTCCCGTCATCACACCGGCGCAAGCATATCTCGCCAACTATTATAGCCAAGCTCCGGCCAACACGACCTACACGGTCAAGCGCCCTGACCCAGCCAACCCACCTCTGACCGACCGCGGAGACCAATCTGCGATCCCCAACGTCATTATCTCGCCAACAGTTGGCACCGCCTCTATCCAGGTCGAAGTCTTGCGCGTCAGCGGAGGCAAGGAGGAAAACCTAGGAAGCTTGGCTGGCTGGCCTCTTCCATACGCCCCTCGCACCGAAACACGCGCTTTCTTCAATGGGCTGCTGGCTGATAATACTGTTCTTGAGCCTGGTGGTTACGCCATGAAGGTTAGGGCGCTGCGGATCTTTGGGGATAGGACGGATGAGGGAGACTGGGATGTCGTCAAGACAGTGCCATTCGTGTTGAAGTATGAGACATCTGGAAACGGAACTACGACCTCGACGTAATGTCCGGAGGCTGTATTTTGTATAAAATCTTCATAATTATCTCCACATTCAAGGGTTTAACGAAGATGAAAATAAGTCAATTCCACACCCACCAATATCGATGGCTCATACGACAAGGCGTCAGAAGGATGTCGTGGGTAATTCGTTAGGAGCCTTCCGAGATTTATGAGTGTTCTCGCGCCATACTAGTATCTACTACATGCCATCTCATGAACACCTCACCTGGCCTCCATACCACGCACAGCCTGATTCATGATTAGCCTAGAAGGACTCGGCGACCTAGAACATTCAGACAGGCCTCAAGATCCCAAGACTCAATCACAGCAGTGTCTCTCTTCAGCCAAACAGCTTCAAAGACCTCTCTAGCCAATCTCGGAGGACCAAGGTTTGCCAGATCTCCCATTAGATCAAGGACTTCACCAACCAAGCCTTCTTGCTCCTCCTTGGCCAAACAGGCAGTTACACAGATAGGCCATGCGAGCGTGTGTAACCAGCGAGCATTGCCCAACTTCATCATCAACGCAAGGTTCTCTGTCACTGATTCCCCGATCTCCATGCTGACTGGTTGCCAGCCTGAGAGAACTATGTGAAGGTAAATAAGGCCAGCATGAGCCCAAATCCGAGTGACTAGGGTGATGGCCTCAGACTCCTCTTTTGCAGATCGGTAGTCAGCTAGCCAAGGTGGTCTCTGATCCCGCACCTCCGACTCTCGCGCGCTCAACGAACTAAGGCCTTCTCGAAACTTGATCTCGAGAACCCCGCCCCTTCTGAACAGCTCGAGATTCGAGAATGACTCCTGCTTGCGCATTTCCTTTTTCCAACGGGCTAGCAACGCCACCTCCGCAATCAATATCATGACCCAGTTCTGGCAGCCGATGAAGCGCTCTAAGAGAAGACTGCAGTTTCGGTTTGGGACCTCTTCAGGCTTGTCATCAGTAACGAGCAACTCTTGGTAGTTTGCTTGTAATCGTGGTGCCTGTCCAAGTGAAGTGCTCGCCATAATGTCGTGGACTACAAGAAGAGCCGTGAAGAAGCGAAAGGCGCTCTGATCGAGTGTCCAGGCAGGAAACTCTGGAGGGTTTTTCAATTGAGGATACGCGAGTCTGCCGACTTTCCGGCATGTAGCGGTCCATTTACAGCCTTGGAACTCTTGGTCATCGACCTCGTGGAGTATTTGCTTCAACAGGGTAATACCCGCATCCAGGTGCATAGTCCAATTCTCTGACGTGCCAAAGGCTGCTTCCAGGTATAGCAGATGCACGATACTGTCATAGAGTCGGACGCTGGTGATCAAGTCCTCGTGTACGCCGCGACGGATGACTTCCTTGACGTCTTGTTGTGCCTTCTGCATCGCTATGTGCGTCTGCTTTTGCAGTTCAGCTTCGACCTGAGACACGCACTTGGGTCTCTCTGAGTGGCGGCGTTGCACCGGTACGAGGGCAAAGAAATGCGAAGCAAGGCTGGTTGCAGCATGGGATAGTGACTTATTAGCTAGGGTAAGAACGAGCATCCAACTTCGACCGCCTTCAAGTATGGACGGATAGTAGAAGGGGAACAATGCCGGAACAATGTAATCTAGATACGCTGAGATGTAACATTGCTCCAACTCAGTCGGAAGTTGTGGTGTGGACTTCTCCAGGCTAGAAGTAACTGATGATTGAGGTCCGGGGTTGGGTGTTCCATCGTTGGAATAAGAAAGCGACTGTGATTGCAAGTCTCCGTCGGGAGATATGCTGGGCTGCGGAACAGTTGATGGAGGGTTTTGTCTCAGAGGATATCTCGCAACAACCCCTGGAGACCCCAAAGTTGTTGATGGCGGCGGCAAAAGGTCATTGGCGTGGGCATCTCCGACGATGCGCTGTACAACCCTTCGAGCCCTCCTCAACTTGGCGCTTTTTGTAACCTCAGCCTTCAACTTATCAGTCATAGCCTGCTGTCTTGGTCCGCCATCCATCCAGTCCGGGGCCTCTTGGCCGGAGAAGCAGGTGATCTCGAGTCCTGCGCAGACGTTGCAGACGGGCAATGATTCGTCGCATTTTTTGTGGCGTATGCGACACGTCCAACAGCTTGACGTCTCCCGTGGCATGCTTCGTCTCGTCGTAAGTCCTGCTAGTTTCCGTCGTCTCTAGGAATCGGTCGGGAACCAGAAGATATGGCTTGGTGTACCCAACAGCCATGCGATATCCAGATGTTTCCGCGCGGTTCACCTCAGACTCGGACATCTTTGAGGTGATGTTCGCTGTGATCCGCGGAGGGCATTATGCCCATAGCGGGTCCGCTAAGCTGCTAGCGCACTGTTCCCGCCCCAACCTGTTCCCGCGCGGGAACGTTCAGACGCGGCGGACTTTCGACAATAGACGACGGACTTTGAAGTCGTGATAGTTGCAACATCTAGTCTATGGCAGCTGGAATCCCGTATAAAAGCAATTGAAAAAGAACTGCTCATTGAAGACTCAACATAGCTTCTTTGCGTCAACCCGAAAGTCTTCGATCAATGTCAGGCAAGAAAGTCCTAGTTCTTGGTGGAACCGGCCCGGCAGGTATTTGCCTACTGCGAGAGCTTGTTCATCGCAACCATGCAACTATCCTCCTGGCAAGAACCCCCTCAAAACTTCCGGGTGACTTAGTCTCTAACTCTCTAATCGAGGTTCGTTGTGAATTTGAGCCTATATTCACTATTATGCCGAGTATGACTACATTCAAACTAACTTCTGTTCTTTGTTAGGTAATCGAAGGGGAAATGAGTGACACGAAAGCCCTAGACTCAGCAATGGCTCGCTCGTCTATAGTTGTATCCCTCCTTGGGCCGAACATCAACGACAAGCACATCGATCCTTCTCTTTACGCCGATATTTACCGCAATTATGTTTTTCCAGCGATGAAAAAATACAGCGTCAGACGAATTTTAGCCATGGGTACAATCTCTATCAAGCAGCCCGAAGACCACTGGACATTCTTCCAGACCATGGTCACGATTGTCATGCCACTTTTGAATGGAGCTGTTTACCGCAATATGCATAATCTTGCTCACTTATTTGGCAAAGAAGGTCACGATCTTGACTGGACTATCTTCCGCATAGCACAGATACCTGGAGAGTCTGATGAGACTAGCTGGAGACAGGACCGGGATCTCGGACTGTTCACTGGGTGGATAGGAGAAAAAGGTTGGACATCAACTCTTAGGCGGGGCGCACTAGCTCGATGGCTCGTGGATGGAGTCGAAGGTAAGATGGACGTTTGGGTCCATAAGATGCCAGGGATCAGTCAACTAGCAGGGGTCTGATTGACGTAGGTGGAAGGCAGTGATAATGATCCAAGCTTGCCGGTGCACGTTGAAAATGTACTTCAGAGCTATTTTCATTATTGCGAGATGAGCTTACTGTGGGCTCATTATCTTCGTGCTGAGGGCAGCCCGTAATTGCTTATTGGCATCAAGTTCTCATATTATCCGGCTACGGAACAGGGCTGCTGAGGAGGTAACTCATGTTATGTCGGCATACGTTTTGGATGTCGCTTACTAATAACGGAGCTTCACGTCGGATTCATTTGGGCGGACATTGCATCATTTTCTCATTAGACGAAGTGCTCGAGAGCATATCAGGAACAGCCACGATGCCTACGTTCTAGGCCGTCAATCTACTCTCTATACACAACGTCTGCTTACCTTAGGTGTCGTAACCAATGAATGACGGCACAGAACGGAAAGGCAAAGCTGCTCGTCAACTTACCAGCATTGCGATATGTGAGTTTTGATAAGAAGACTATGTTGAGTCTAGATCAAATAGTAAGGTTACCTTACCGCGGAAGTCGGGATGAGATAGGCGCGAGAGACTCTTCCGGAACCTGCTGCCGAACTGCCATGTCCGGTACTGCTTCCCAGCTTCGGGAACGCCTGTAACGTCAAGAAACCATGTCAGTCAATGCTTGCATATTGTAAGTGCCTGATGGCTTTGGGCTCGTGACAATCTTGTGCAGTTCAAATCTCGGCACCGAGCATATTTCTTCGCCAGTATTACCCGTACCGAACTGAGACGACAGGTCTTCAAAACAATCCGGTTTCTGCTCATATTATCGATGGTTTGCAGCAGTCTTTTCTCCCTTCCAATAACACGAAGGCGTCGCTTTGCCTATCACACAACCTACAAGTTACGTCTATAGCCAGTCTTTTCGGAGGCTAGCCGTCTGATAACCTACCATACTCGGACATCCGGCTGTTCTTACCGTTTTGTCACAATGGCTCGGTTGCGAGTCGGGTAGACCTGCGACTTTGTCTACGGACTGGAAATCAGAACTCCTCGAATTGGCGCAAAGTTTCTTGGCGCCCTGAAACGGAACCTTCCTAGTCTTGGCATCCAATACGTCGGATATATTGTTTCCACCCGGAAGCAGCCATCTCGGCTTTCGTTTCTCGTTTTCCTCTCTGGGAATACTGCCCCATGATTGAACTGCTTCACGAACATAAGGGATGTCACTGCAACAAAAGCACGTGGATTTGTCTTTCTTTGCTTATTACGCTCCTCTCCCCCACTGAGGGGTGAGGACGATTGAAGCCAGCATCATCCCGAATCAATGATCGCTTCATTTACACTCCCGCGCGCGCGCTAGCTTTGATACTAATTCGGCGCTCACCGAGCCGTGATTGCGATCATATGGAAACCAGGCTTACAATTTGGCTTTTGCACTTCTAAATCATGGGCTGAGAGCTCAACCCGGTCAAACTTCTGAAGCAGGCTGACGGGGATGCAAGTCGGACCCGGTGTCGACCACAGCTTCCCCTCGCGATTCCGAGCTCAGTGCATGTGTTTGGATCAGGGTGAATTTCTTCCCCTTTTCTGCTATGTTTGATTGTCACTTTCAAATATTGAACAACGTCCTTCAACACGTAGTCACGCGCAAACACTGGGGAGGTAAGGGTCTCAATGAGGTTCGTCCTGTGCTCGCATAGAGGCACTGTAGTGACAAGGCTACTGTCTGTTCCCAACAGACCCTTGTCTCAGGGTCGACATTCCGTTTCCTTCCAATGACAGCGTCGAACGTGCCAGAATTGCCTAGTATAGTTCGCCAAGCAATCTTTTAATCGTCTAGTGGGATCGACGGTCGGTCAGTGGCATTTCTCCGAGGGATGCGACTCGGCATACGATAAGGTGAAGATCTTGCTAGGGTCATACAGACAACAATCTAAGCTTCGCCAAAAGCTTCGTTCCTTTCCGTCTAAACAAATGTCCAATCGTGAGCAAGGAGCAGCCAAGGTCCTGAAACTTTGTGCGGGAAAGTCAAAAGGAACCCCGCGCATGTCCGGCAGAGAAAAGCTCCATCGGGAAGCTCAATGAGCCAAACAGCCTCACCTTTTCTGTCTCATCTGAGAGCATGTTTGTATTTCCCACGCAATTGAAGATTCATGAATCCAGGGTATGATGGGTTGCTGTTTGGCCCGTGGTTCCGTGATGCCAGGATGTCGGAGAATGGAGAGAGTAAATTAGCCAAAGAATAAAGATCATCCATTTCCTTTAGCTCTAACCTACTCGCCGAGAGTTGCCAGCTACTCGCCGAGAGTTGCCAGAGCGGCCAATTCGTTTTCATTCTCTCATCTAGTTCAACTCCAAAATCCCACAGGTGCTGGACGCCAGTCTTGCTGATTGCCATTCTCTTCTCTTTTCTTCTTACGGGCAAAACCATCACAGTCCATTTTTCAATCATCATGAAGTCTATCATCAGCATCACGGCCTTACTCGCCACTGTGGCACTTGCTCACAATGACATGCCACCGAGGAGCATGTCCACAACAGAGTTCCGCCAGGCTTTCATGGAAGCCGGTATTGTTCCCGATGTAATGGGGTCGTTCGATCCGATGGTGTCTTTCTACGCCGGTTACAAAGCTAGTGATGGCGATAAGGCATTGTTGATGCCCGGAACGAAACTCAAGATGAAGGAAACTAAGTTTCCATTCGAGTTCAGCGTCGAGAATATCATGAAAGCTAGGAACGTAACTCGGAATTCCAGATTCGTTCTTTGCATGGTATGTGTGTCCCGCCGTGGGCTGGGCAGCTTGAACAGGACTAATACCGTGGACCAGATTGGGCCCGACTCTCCAACACGCGAAAGCCCTACAGAGCGAAACATGAGGCACTACCTCGCTGGCAACTTCACGCTTGAGCAGACTAAATCTGAAGTCCTTTCGTCAGCGATGATCATGAAGAACTCAACCCCCGCATTTAATGATTATATGGCACCGGAGCCCAAAGCTGGCAGTGGCATGCATCGATACGTGTACCTGCTCTACGTTCAACCAGAGAAATTGAACAAGATGGGCTTCGACGCCATGGGTGTCGATAAGATGAATCGGAAGAACTTCAATGTCAGTTCAATTCTGCAAGTTTAGGTTCCTTTGATGTCAAGCTGACCGTCTTTAGATCTCTCAGTTCCGCAAGCAAGCTGGTCTCGGACGCCCCATTGGTGGAACCCACTTCATGCTGAACATGGCTCAGGATAATGGAGGCAGTGGCGGCCATGGCGGCGGGAACAACGGGGGGAACAATGGTGGAAACAACGGCGGTAACAACGGCGGTAACAACAACAATAATGGAAACGGACGAAGCGCTGCCTCTGTCGTGACTGCGGGTTCTGTGGTAATGTTCATTACGCTGCTGGCGTCAATGTTTGCTTGGATGTAAGACAGGCCGATGCTACGGGCTAGGACAATGAGGACGGGCCGCCATCTGACGAGAAGATTCTCAAAAGTAAACGGAATTAATCTTTTCACTCGCTAGGTAGGTAGAAAATTGGTAATTTTCAACTCAGCACATACTTATCACTTTAATTCAAGTCTACTTGGTGCTGGTTATTCTCAAAAGATGGTAGCTACTACCCACGATTCCACCCTTGTCATCATCTGCTGAGACCATGCAAAACTCTCTTTACATTCGCATCTCTCTCCATTTCCTGCCATAGACGAGGCTCCCAGTCGTTGAAGCCCTCCCGCACACCACCTCCCTTGCCATCCACTCTTTCACTCGAAGACCAACACCTCGACAGCCAAGCTCGCAAGACGTGGCTCTGCCTCAGTGCCTTCGTAGCCATCTCCATCAGAAGCAGTGCACACAGCACCATAATGAGCGTAGACCACCATGCTGGATCCCTGCCAAATTCTGATATCAGCCCCCCGCGAACAGAATACGGGCCCGCGCTTGGTGAAGAGATGGCACCCGCTACAAGCAAATAGGCCCACAGTACCGCGATACTGCCGACGATGGACCAGAGGGCAACTCTTGTTTTGTAATGTAGCTCAATGACCCTGTTTCAAGTCAGCAAGTTTATCATGGAATCTAAGCTTGGATGTACTCACAGTAACTTAATGTTGACCCAAACCCCACATAGCACAAATGTCAGCAATCCTTGCGCATACAGCCCGTCATCTTCAATCATTTCAGAGTCCGTGTAACCCGCCCAGGCGCCAGCATAGACAATGAGTCCAGAAATCATTGCGTTACTGAACCAGCTAAAGTACACCGACATATTCAGACCCTCAGCATTTTGTCCATACTTGAACAGCTCCGGGACCACAGTCAGAGTGCGCGAGTGGAGATCTTGTTCCCAAGTTCCAATAACGAGGATGCAAGCCGCAGTGAAGAAACTCACAAAAGTCAGACTTCCTGGTTCGTACAAACTCGTGCCCGTGGCCCCAGTCTGCTCTTGAAAGAGTGCCTGCGGGAGGTAGAAAAAGGTCTCCTTCCAGAACGTGGCCAAGATGAAACGTGTCGTGCGGTAGTAGTTCCAACGGCCATGAACAAGTACCAGCCGAGACAGATACCGAAACTGAGAGATGCTGAAGTCCGCGACTCGAGCGGCCTGTTGACCCTCTCTGCCAGAGATGCCAACACCGACATTGGCAGCAGAGATCATGGCCAGGTCGTTGGCACCGTCGCCGATAGCAAGAGTCAGGGGCTTATTGGAGGTTGGACTAAGCCAACTATACCATCGCGACTTCTTCTGAGGGCCTTTGCCGATTTCAGTTACGAGCAGGGCTTTTTGGGCAGGCGATGCACGACAGCAAATAACAGAGTCGACCTTGGTCATCATTGTGACAAACAATTGACGGAGTCGAGTCGCGGATGGGTCTTCGATTGCAGTCAAAGTCTCGCCGTCGATCACTATTGCCGTGTGCGAGCGAGTCGGGTCAGAATACACCTGTGGGAGACCATATTGGACCTCGTCCGCAATGCCGGTAAGTTGCAACTCAAGATCACCTTTCTCGATGTCTAGTACGAAAAGAGAAGTATCGGGACCAACGATCCGTGTCGAATGAGCGATGTTGATGGCCGTCTCTCGCTTGTCGCCAGTAAGCATCCAAATCTTAATCCTAGCCTGCCGTAGCTTCTCAATCGTTTCCGGTACCCCAGTCTGTAGCTTGTCCTCCACTGC